GGCCCCCCCCCAGCCGCTGGTTGTCTGCCAGCGTGCCAACTCCATGAGTGACTTGTATTCCCCCAAAACCCCCAGCGCTGCCGTCAATGGTGGCCCACGAAACGCCTTCGGAGGGTACTGCCGGAATTTAGTGTCCGACATCCCGGATATTGGGAGCCATAAGATCACATCGGTCACTGCTGAGGATGCGCCTTCCTACAGTAATTACAATACACTGCCCTGCAGGAAATCCCACTGCCTGTCTGAAGGGGCCACCAACCCACAAATTAGCCATAGTAACAGCATGCAAGGCAGAAGGGCAAAAACCACTCAGGTAAGGCAGTTTTATTCTTCGTAATAAATGTGTGGCGTTTGCTAAGCTGTGTCTGTAGATAAAGATATTCCAGGTTCTTTCAGGCTGTTTTCCTTCAGATTTCTTTTTCCAAGAAGAGAGCTGCGTCCAGGAGAGAGCTGAACTAACTGGTGTCCAGAGCTGGCTTGATCGCATCACTGCTCCCTTCCTTATCTGCAGCTCCGGGCCCCTTCCACTCTTCCTGTCTCTGGAAAAGATAAATTTTCATTTGCCAGCTAAAGGTTTTCCTGTCTGTTTGCAGTGCTGATGGTGCCTTTTTTTCCAGGGTAGCTGTCAAAACTGATCACTTGGGGAGTTCTTGCACGTTGGTTGTGTCTCCCCTCTCTGCCCTCTGTGTCCCGTCACCCTCCCCTGCCTACACACATGCAAGTGCTCCTCAACTCCTGGCTGGAAGTGAAGGAGAAACCCGTGAGTGTGTCCCCTCCCCTCTATCACAAAAACTCACTGGGCTGAAATTTCATTCTTCTAATTAGTTGATGCTCACATTTGTCCAAAATATCACCTAGAAACACTGCTGTCCTCTTGCAGGAGACTGCCAGTCCTGTGAGCTGCAGCACTCACCCATTGTAAACTGAAAAATTATGGGGCATGTAAACGTATGGAGAAGATGCTGCTCCTCCTAGCCAGGGAGGACATCATACCCTTCATCATTTTAACAGACAGCACAGAGCCAAGATGAGCTTTTCTGTCTGGTGCCCCTCCTGCGCTCCAAACACCACTCCTGTGACCTTTCCTTTGATGGCTGCTGTTGAGTCTTCATTATGTTTTGCCCTGCTTTTCTTGGCCCTGTTCTGCCTGATCGAGTTACACAGCACTGCCTCCCGCTGCAAGCAGCAATTCTGCTTTCAGTAAGTGGCAGACTACTCTTAGAGGGGGAGAAAAAGGAGCTACAAATCCTGCCCACTTATACAAGCTGCGTGTGGCGTACACTTTGTGGGCATACTGCTGTCAGTTTAAGTTCATTCAGCTTACTTACTGGGCCTTCTCAGAGTCGTGGTCCAGACACCTAATCGAAGGGGCTGGCTGTGGAAGTTTTTTTTTATGCAGTATTTTCTAGCTGTGGGCACCGGCTCGGAAACGTGGCCGGGGGACGCAGACAGAACAGTCTGATGGCGCAGGTCAGAGCTGTGCACCAGATTGCATGCTTCAGTGGCTCCCCTGATTTTATTGCATGGTTTCTCCTACATATGCCATGCAGCGTACACACATCATGCCGCGTGACCCAGAAGAAACTAGAAAACGGCACGTTGCATCAAGGTTGGAGGCCGTCAGGCTTGTGTCCTGCTGCTGGGCTGAGCTGTTGGCAGGACACCAGTGTTGGAGGTACCAGGCTGGGCAGCACAAGCCAGGCAGGTTGCAACATGCCACAGAGGAGGTGGGGGGCTATGGAGGTGCGGAGGCTGTTGGAGAGGGAGACGAGCGTGTCCCTCCCCACTGGCTGGCACTGACTTGTGAGAGCTGATGGGAAGGGGTTGCTGAGAGACTTACTGGCTGTGCTTGATCTGTGGAGATAGGCTGCTTCTAAATATAAACATGACATGTTAAAACAGATGCTGCAGTGTCCCACTACAGCAGCATTGTACTTCAAAATCAGCTCTTTATTTTTGGAGGTATTTTTACGGTGTGACCATAGAAACCCTTTGGTGCTCCATGAAGGCAGTGTGGGATAAAAAGCAAGAGAACAACAACAACCACCAAAAAAAGGATGTTGTTTGGCAGCCTTGAGCATAATAGCTTTCATGAAGACTATTAGGTTCAACTGCTGCTTCCAGCTCTCTTTCAAGTGTATTTAAGAAGAGAGCAATATCACTGGCAAACAGCAAAGCATTTGTTTTTCTTCTTCGTGCCTATCTTGGAATTAAGAAGATTCCTCTGAGGCACTTAGTGAAAGTCACAAATTTGCTTACCTTTTTGTGAGGCCTCAGCTATGCCCAGGGAAATCACTTTGTGTGTCTGGTTTCACTAGATGTATCTCCTGAGCTTGGAGAAAGTGCTATAAGGAGTCTCAGCAGTGTTTATTAACACTTACAAATTCAATAAAATTAAAGCTTTGGAAAGGCCAAAACTCCTTCCAAGTCTTTAATTCTAGCAGCGTACAACAAGTACAACATACTTGTCAGCAATTAATTCATGTTATTCAGCTAACCTTTAGACAGCTTAGGTAAATTACTATCATTATGTGTTTGATAGATGGAGCAAAAAGGACGTCCAAATTTGCACACAAAGTAAAAGGACCAGTTCCATAATGAACCCGATTAGGGTGGGTGAGAGGGGGCAGACTACCAGCCTGTATTTGTACCCGGTTCCCAGTCCAATGATATCTCGATGCTTTGCTCATCTTTACTTGACACCCTTGGTGTGCAGTGGAGCATGATGGTTGCCCCACCTGAGATGGTGGAAGCTCACATGTAGAGCTGATGGCCTTACTGCTTTGCTGTTGAAGTGCTCCTTGGCACTGTGTTGGCCTGTACCAGCTTGTACTTGGTAACAGTTTGAGGAATTTTGTTTCCCTCCGTCTTTCCCAGTCTTACAACACTTGCTCAGTTGGGTTTACACTCTTGGTGACCACCTTGAGCATTGCCCTACAGCCTGCCATATGTCCTCATGCTCTAAAACATTTCATGCTATAAAAACAGTTTAGTGGACTGGGGCAAAACTTTCATGTTTTTTTCCAGCCTTTTGAACTGCCTCCCCCATCCTGATCCCATAAAGTAATAGTTATGTCTTAGGGCCACAGAGGCACTACACAAGGGTGACCCAGGACCAGGTGTAATATGGTGTTCGACGCAGTGTTCCCTGTTGACCTCCAGGCTAGTGACGGTGCAGAGGTAGCTCCCTTGTTCAAAGTCACATAATTGAGCCTCGTTGCCAGGAGTAATGTTTCTGGCCATCCTCACAAGAATTTGGGTTTGTATTTGCCAGTGTGTTTGTTCTTTTTTTTTCCAGTTTTTACAAAGTCATAGCTGGGATACTTGCAAAATTTTTTAGTCTCATCTGCCCTTGTGCTAGAAGTAGGGAAGGGTCCTGATGGCCACTTGCAGGTAGCTTTTGAGTAGTCTAGTTTCCAAAGAGGTCCCTGAAGGCAGAAGAGGCCGAGTGCAGGGTAAGTCTGAGACCACAGTAATGGGTCTGTGCCTTTGTGTTTGATTCCTGGATCCAGCCACTGTTACATGCATGTTCAACTATATGTATATCATCATATTTCCTATATAGTCTAAATTTATTAGAAGTTGTCAGCAGCATTTTTGTGCTATGCTGATCACTCTACTGGCAAAATGCATTCTTGGATGTATCACAGAAAGGAGATGGTGGAATCACAGCCGTACATGTTTAGTTACAAAGCCTTATCCATGGGATCTTTACAAGTACATCATTTAGATTAAAAGAGAGAAAGAAAATAAACTTTTTTCCCTTCCAAATTTAAACCTTAAATTGAACTGTGGGAGTCACTTTCCACTAATGTAGAAGGAGAGCTTTTTAATGCTGGAGAGACAATTGCACTCAATATGCAAAAGTGATTAATATTCACAGAGTGGCTTTGGGGCACCCACGCAGGTGTTCTGTTTCTTGTAACAATTTAATGCATTAGAGGTTCAGATCTGCTGAAGTGAGGCCTCCTGGAGAGCTCTGCTGGGATCCTGTTTGGCTTTTAGACCTGATGTGTTGTAGGTGGAAAAAGCTTAATTGGCTGACATTTTCACCCATTTTTGCTCAAAGGGAGGCAGGCTGCAGTTGGATACAGCTTGTTCTGAGTGTGGGTTGTTAGATCCCCAGGATCCTACAACCTGCTTGTTGGGATCCAGATTTTGTGAAGTGTCTCTGTTGTGTCCTTCTTACAGCTAAACATCTCCATGCAGGAGACTCCTTCCTCCTCTTCCAGGTAGAGGAAGGTTCAGAAATGTAAGCTCAAGTCTCGAGAGGGGAATTATAGAATGGAAATCTTGAGATACGGTTTTGTGCCACCTTCAATCCTGTGTGGCCACCTCCTTTTCCCATATTCCTCCTCTGTGGATAATTTCTGATTGCTCTTTTCTGTGGACCATAAAATGGGGGGGGTTACAGCCTTGTGTAGAACATTAACCTTTTTTGACATTTCAGACTCCTCTACAGGGGCAGTCAGGTGAAGGAGACGCGTACAGAAGATGTTCTAGTCATGTGGCAAAATTTGCTTGCCAGGCCCTGGTGTCAGCACTGTGTCTGTTCATGGATTTCTGCTGCAGATCAGCATGAGCCAGCACTGCCTTCTCCTTCTGCTGCTTCTGTATGTCCTAGTCCTCCCCATCTGGTTTTTGTGATGGCTGAAGTGATGATGACAGAAGCTGTTGACGTTAGACACCTCCAGGGGCTTCCAGTGTTGGTATTTGCTTTGTGGGGAAGACCTTAGGAGTAATAGTTCCTAGTAGGTGTGAAGGCATTTTCTAGGGGAATAATGGTATTTAAAAGCAGTATTTAGGACATTATGTGACTGCTGTGTGCACTAAAATCCAAGCAAACATGGTGGCCAAAGCATTTTTGCATTCACTCAGACTAGAAGGGTGGCTCATTCCTCTTGGAGCTTTATAGCCCGTTTTGTTATTTTCTCCAGAAAGCTCAATTCCAGTGTTAGTGTTACAATAGTGCGGTCCAGGTTTTTTACATGACTTCTAAGAGGAGCAGCAAGAAGATATCCCTCAGGTCTGCAGGGAAAGCAAAGGTTTTCTATGATGTTAAGTCCAGTGTTTGCTGCGAAACAAACTTCCTGCCTGACTGACTTGGAAACTGCGGCTCCTTCTGTGCCAGCACCAGGCTATGTCCTTGACTTGTTAAATCCCCTTTTGTCTGATTTTCAAGTTTATTACTATTTTTAGTTCTCTGTAGGTAGCCTGAAGGAATTTGGGATCTCAAGCCCTAAAAAAACCCAAACAACTATATACAAAAATTTGCAGGATGTGCAGGAGATGCCACCAAGGTTTTTGTGGGAA